AATCTAATGTGCTTAAGCTAATAAAATTACATTACATGTTAGACGCTTTTATCCAAAGCAACTTTGTACTGTGGGCAATCCCCACAATATTTCTCACAGGCACATAGGCAGTAGTACCGTTATAAAATCTAATTGTAAGCACACAGCGGCTGCCAGCATGGACAACAAGGTAGGCAACACTTGTCATTTATTAAATGAACAACCCGTATGGAAGCTGATGCCATATGTTTTCTCATGAAAAAACGTGATTCGAAAGTAGTAACACATCGGGAAAGGACACACTCAACTCAACGGTCTTTGATTCATGGTTTCTAAAACGGCAGAGTAGTGTCGACGCTAAGCTAAAGTTATGGGTCTTGTATTAAAGTGGAGGCAACCTGACTGAGGCCCTTTGACTCACCTCCATCTCTTGCCTGTCGAAGATGGCTTTGATGGGGGAGGGCTGAGTGGCAGCGGACAGCAGCTGCTGCAGGAGGATCATGGGAGGCAGCGGCCCCTCGGGGGACAGATCCCCCACATCAGGGGACAACACCACGGGGTCCTCTGCAGACAGGAAAACACAGAGGTATCGTTAGAAACTAAAAAACCCAAAATAACACTACACTCAAATATGGTCACAGGAAAACCCTCAAGGTTTGAAAGCTAAGCAGATTTGTTAATCAAACAGGAGGCAGTAAACTTTCTTAAGCAAAATAATAACAAGAGAAGGAATGGCTATCATATTTGTAAGCGATACTTCAATAAAAGGTTTTATATTATATTCCTTGTCCTTATATTTTTTAGTGCCTTGGATGAGGATAACCAGTTTCTCTTAAAACTACACTGAGCTCAAAATTGGGGAAAAAACAATATCAATAGAAACACAATCAAGGCACTTTAAGAACAAGTAACAACAAGGAAGTAAGTATTAAATAGCTTTCATTAAAGTGATTAAATAATGTATTTTTTGGAGTGAAAGTGATATTTAGCTAATCAAATAAAGTTTTTTTTAAAATATTTATTTCCTTATAATGTGACTGAGCTGTCTTCCTGTTGGGCCAAATAATAATTTCTTATACTGTATATTTGCAAGTTTCAAACACAATTTCCAATTACTGAAACACTTTCTTAGTAATGCCAGAGAATCTAAAACACCCAACATGTTTTCAGTTTAACACAGAGCTAAACAATAGGGCTGTTCAATTAATCGTATTTTAATCTCGATTGCGACTTTGTCTTGCAACGATTACGAAAACAACGTAATCAAAATAAAACTAAATTCTTTTTTTTATTTTGGTTTTTCAGTTGAATTATACTTAAAGTTCAGGGTAATCAACTGTTAAAAACATACTGTTCACATTTTTTTTTTCTATATATGGATGTTTTCAAAGTAAATGGATAATCGTTTTTTAATAATCGTGATATCAATTATTGACCAAAATAATCGTGATTATGATTTTTGCCATAATCGAGCAGCCCTACTGAACAGCATCAGTTTCCAGTTGCTCTCACCGCTGGGGTTCGGGCCGATGTCCAGCACGGCGGGCTGCGAGAGGATCTGTCGGAGTTTGTCCTGATGAGAGAGCAGCGCCCGGCCGGCCTTCAGGATGTAGAGCCTCAGCTGCTGGCAGCGCAGCAGGTGGACGTCCACCTGGTCGGCTGGAACACAACAAGTCTGAATAAATACACTGGAGTACACATTTAACACCAAATCAAAGCAAGAACAAACTGTCATGCATATTGCCAGGGAATTAGACCAGGCACATGATTAGTAATTTATCCAATTGTGGTTCATCGAGATCGGCAATGGTCCTTGTGTGCATGTTTTGGATTGCTGAATTAAATAATAAAGTAAATTGTCATTTAAATTTGATTGTTAATGGGTGAATAAACGCAAGAAAAACATTCTTAGTGTAGTTTCGAATTTAAGCTAATTTTTAATAATCATCTTCTGGTGATTTTACAGCTTTAAAATAATAAAACACAAGCAATACATTTAAAGCTAGGTGAATACACATT